TGTGTGTGTGTGTGTGTGTGTGTGTAGTGGGTGGGTGACTGTGTTCCGCTAGAAGAATGAAGAATGGGCCTGGGGATGTAGCTCGGTGGTCAAGGGCGTGCCTAGCATCCTCAGAGCCCTGAGTTCAGTCACGAGCACCACAATAAATGAACAAATAAAGTGGAAGCCTTAGGGGTGTGCTTTCTTTGGGGGTCATGGGTGCATTGTATATAGTAAAAGGACAAAGATTTTATGCCAACAGAAGTCAGGAAGCCTCGTGCTGTGGCCACACATGGAGTCTCAGCACCCCTCTGGCACGTTGCAGGCTCTCGGGAGAAGCCCATTTACCCCCAGCTATCCCAGGGTTTTCCCTAAGTTTGTTTCTGTCTGTCATCTGTGACCTTCTGATGAAGCACTCGGGAAGCGCCATACTTGATCTTTTCACATCGTCAGCTGAGGTTGCTAAAAATGGCGTCAACTTGGCTAAGGATGTGGCGTTGGATGCCACAGTGGCCTGAGGTTGGGCTCTCCTCCTCACTGGTGCCTTTTGCCTTGTGGGACGGACCCCCTACTTCACTATTACCAACACATTCCCCAGTGTGTGTATGTGGTGCCTCTGGTCCCAACTCCCAGTATTCAGTAAATAATGCATTTAACTACACCTCTGCCCCAACGAGCCACACCAGGGCCACGGGGCTGTGCTTCACCAAACCTGAAGGGCCCAGGGTAGCAGTCAGAACTGGTGGGCTCCCTCGGGGGATGGCAGTTCCTGTATTCGCCTGCTTAGACCACTTCTACTGCACTGGGTCTGTTCCGTCTAAAGGGAAATGTTATCCGGGCATGGTGGTGAATACCTGTAACCACACACTCAAAATGATGCCCATTGAGGCAGGGGGAAATCTCAAGTTCTAGGCCACCCTGTGCTATACAGTGAGGGGGGAGAGGGGCAGAAAGGGAAGCCAAGCACAATCAAGGGTCTAGCAACCATGTTAAGATGGAAGGCAATAGAGATGGGAAATGAAGCCTAGTGAAAAGAACACCCGGGGCCCTGGCGGCTCTTCTCCATGGTGTGGAAAGCTGCCATCTGGGAAAGATCAGGCACAGAGCATACAGAAAGGCCAGGCGGATGAGGTTCAAGAGACCAGAATGTGTGCACAGGTGATACTAGGCTAGGCTTCAGGGTTCGGAGGGAGCTCTTGAACCTGAGGTTGATAAAGCATCTGCATGGAGGCTTAGAAAGAGCCCAGGGGCAAGATGGGACCAGAAGAGGGGAGCTCCCACCCCCCCAGCATCCTGTGTGTCCCACACTCACTTGACAAAGCTTCTGCTCACTGTCAGCCACCCTGGTCCCCTGACTCAACTCCTGACAGGAGGGATTTCTTCCTCTTCACAGTTCCTGGGCTGGGTGGCAGGAGGAGCTAATGCCATCTTCCAGTGACTTCCAGCTCTGAGGAGTGGCTCTGTCCTCAACACTGACAGCTTGTCACAGCGACAGGAGGGAGGGACATTAGGGTGGCACCGAGGCACCTCTGTCCCAAGGCTCTAAAGCGTGAGCACTATCAGGCGAAGCCTGTGGAGAAGCAGACCCTCTTTCTAGTGAATCATGACCATGGGCACTGCCTGAACATCCGTCTTCTTCATTGTAGAGGAAGAGCTCTTCCCAGAGAGGTGGCAATTCCAAGTCCACATAGCACTGCATGAATGTGTAACTTACATGTGGATTGAGGACCCTCCGTCAGGATCCAGGAAATCTGTTCCTGCCCAGCTCTAGGCCACTCTGGGATCCAGTGAAATTTCTGGAATGAATTCGGATTTCTAGAGCCTGGATCTTAAGAAAACAATGGAAGTTACAGATTTGAGAGTAGGTAAGGTGCTAGAGAGATGGAGAGATGGCTGAGACGACAAGCCCCGGCTGCTTGTCCAGAGGACTGGTGTGGCTTCCCAGTACCCACAGGCCAGCTGCCAATCATCTGTAACTCCAGTTCCAAGGTATCCAACGCCCTCTTCTGGCTTCCACAGGTACTGCACGCATGTGGTGCACAGACATGCATGCAGGGAAAACAGCCATACACATAAAATAAATTTCTTAAAAATGTTTAGAAACAGACACAGACCCACAGCCAAATATTAGAAGTAGTTTTGGGAATCCTGCAGAACAAGAGGAGAAAGCATCTTATGGAGCCAGAGGGAACAAGGACTCCATAAGAAAACTCACAGAATCAACTAACCTGGGGGGCTCATCGGGGCTCCCAGAGACTGAACTGACAACCAGGAACCTGTATGGGACTGACCTAGGCCCTCTGCCTATAAGTGACAGTTGTGTAGCTTGGTCCTCTTGTGGGACTCCTAACAGTGGGCACAGGGGATGTCTCTGACTCTTTTATTGGCTTTTGGGAACCTGCTCCCCCATATCGGGTTGCCTTGCCCAGCCTTAACACATGAGGAGGGGCTTAGTCTTACTGCAACTTGATAGGCCATGTTTTGTTGATACTCATGGGAGCCCTGTCCTTCCCTAAACTGAAAAGGAGGAGGAGTAGATTAGGGAGTGGGATCAGAGGGAGATGGGGGTGGGCGGTGGGGACTGGAAGGAGAGGAGGGAGGGCAAACTTCGGACAGGATGTAAATAAATAAATTTATTTTTAAAATGTTTAAAAATAGATAAAATGTGATTGCTAATTTAGAAGGATAAAAATGATGATGGGGCTGGGAGGTGGCGTGGCTGGCACAGTGCTTGCTGTACAAGCACAAGGCCCCTCGTCTGGGTCCCCCAGCACCCAGATGAAAGCTAGGAGCCACACGTACCTGCAATCTCAGTGCTGGTGAGGCAGAAACAAGAAGAACCCCGAGGCTTGCTGTCCGGGTCGTTTAGCTGAATCAGTGTGCTCCAGGTTCAGTGAGAGATCCTGTCTCAAAATATAAAGTGGACGGCCACTGAGCGAGACACCTGACATCAACATGTGCACATACATGAACACGCACGGACCTCATACACACACACACACACACACACACACACACACACACACACACACACACACACACACACAAAAGTAAGACTGACATCCTGTGGGGGGAAAGAAACTTTCAAATATCACAAAATCTGGACAGTCGCGTGTTTCCTTCAGGCCTGACAAGTCATCACCACATCCCTCTTCTTTGAAATGTTCTTTGTGCTTCCAAGCTTACACAGACCAGCTGCTGGCTCCATCTATTTTACACCTGATCTCCCCTGCCTTTTCCTCTCTCTCTCTCCCTCTCTCCCTCCCCCCCTCTTTCTAGCTCTCTCGCTCTCTCTGGCAGGCAGCAAAGTCCACCAGCATGTCGGACTTAAATTGTACCACTGCAGCTTTGTGTGATAAAGTGAGCAAGCCGGGCATGGTGGGGCCCTTCCGTAAGCTCAGCACTCAGAAGGCAGAGTTCAAGTTCAGCCCGGGTCCCCTAGCAAGACCTTGTGTGAAAGCAAAGCCAGGTGAGCTGTTCTGGGGCTGCAAGAGTGTTCCTGCAAGCTGTCCCTTTCATGGGACAGAGGCATGAATTGCCTGTGAACTACCCAAATACATCCCACCTGAAGATGAGTCGGATACCCAACATTCACCAGGCCCTCTGGGATGCTAGACAATAAAAGAGGATCAGCTGTGGACTGCAGATCAACTGGATCATCCCACAACACTGTCCCATAAGCTCTGAGCGTAGGGAACACACTCTTCAGCCTGGAAGACCCCAAACTTGGGCTGTGTCGGCTCCATAGCAAACCTGTCTCAGGCACACCACAACCCCACTGAGCATCAGGGGCTGCATTCTGTATAACGAGCAAAAGCAGTCCCGGCCCTTTCTGTCCCCCTTTTCAAGACAAGATAGGGTCTCTCTATGCAGTCTTGGCTGTCCTGGAACTCACTATGTAGATCAAGCTGCCCTTGAACTCAGGAGCTCCACCTTGCCTCTGCCTCCTGAGATTGAAGGCGCGTGCCACCCTGCCTGGCCTCTGGCCCTATTTTATTAAGATCTGAGAAGACACGAAGTACTCGGAACCCCCGAAAGCTCTCCACAGTGACCATCAGGAAGGTGGCAGTGATGCAGGCTGAGCACGCCCTTGGCAGAACTACTTTGGCTTTGAGGTCAGTATGTCTGTAGATGCCAGCATCCTGCCAAGAGCTCACCTTGAGAGGCCAGAGATACCAGGCCAGTGTGAGGACTGCCAAACTTAGGGCTCAAACCCAGGAGGAAGGCCACACTTGTGGGACTGTGACATGTGGGGGTGTAGGAAGGTGCTTGGCACCTCATGAGACAGCCAAGTCAGTCGTTCAGTCAGCATTTACAGGGGCTCCAGGAGGGGGCTGTAGGTAAAGCCAAGAGGGCTGGGCACCCGATGTCTGCAGAGATGGTCATGGGAGTGCACAGAGAGCCTCATTCCCAGGAAAGGGATGAGTGCCACAGGCCACCCTGTCTACGGCAGCCAGGGCCGAGAGACAGTACCATGTCATGCCAGAGTGCCTGTCAGCCTCACGGAAGGTCAGTGTGTGGTAGGTGGAGGGAGGGGCCTGGGAACCGGAAAAGAGAGAGGTGGAAAAGGCTGAGTGCTCAGAGGTTGTTTTTTTAAAAATTCTTTTATTTTTGAGATTATAATATAATCACATCATTTCCCCCTTCCCTTTCCTCCCTCTAAACCCCCTCACAGACCCCTTCTGGCTCTTTCTAATTCATAGCCCCCTTTCATTAGTTAATTTTATAGACACATGCACATTCTTAAATCCACTAGTACAACCTGCTCAGTCTGTATAATGCTACTTGTGTATGTATGCTTTTAGGGCTGATCTTTTGGTATCGCGTAACCAGTTGGGGTGCTTTTCTCTGCAGAAGACAATTGCTCCCCCTTTCGCTATTTCTTGGTTGTCTGTAGTTCTTTGTGGAAGGCTGAGGTCTTTCCTCTGTCCGTGTTAATATATCTGGTGTTGCTGTCCTTGTTCAGCTCATGTTTAGGCAATCATGAACTATTGCAGGTGTAGTTTCTGACGTTCCTCAGAGACCCAGTCTCACAGTAAACTCTCGCTCCTCTGGCTTTATAATCTTTCCACCCCCTTTCCTGAAATTCTTTCCACCCAGGAGTTGAGTTGTAGATGTATGAGTTGGGCCTGGGCTCCACAGTTCTTCAGTTTGTTTGGTTGTGGTTTTCTGGAATGGTCTTTGTCTGTTACACGGAGAAGTTTCTTTGATGAGGGGTGAGGACTATATTTATTGGACCAGCCCTTGGAGAAGGATCTGAAAACACCAAGGTTTTTCCCTGTTGTTTGTTTGTATTTTTGAGACAGGGTCTCTCTATGTAGTCCTGGCTGGCCCATTATGTAGATGAGGCTGGCCTTGAACTCACAGAGATCTGCCTGCCTCTGCCTCCCCTGTGCTGGGATTAAAGGTGTGTGCTGCCACACCAGCAGGTTCAGAGGGGTTGTTTGTTTGTCTGTTTTATATAGAAAATAGTTAAGTAAAATTACATGAAGAAGAATAGATCAGAGACCTGTAGGACAACATGGGGAGCCACACAGACTGAGTTTCTGGTTTTTGTTTGTTTGGAGTATTGCTGTTTGTGTCTGTCTATATACCTTCCACCCCAGCCCAGCCTCACTTCTAGAGAGAATTCTGACCAGGAGCCTGCGTTCAGACTTCCCAGGGCCTCCCTGGGTTGGCTCGCTAGCCAGCTTCAGAGCTGTGAGCTGAGAGAACACGGTAGAAAAGAGACCACAGCGGGGGAGACTCCAGCCTTCTTGGGGGCCTCAATAGCCCTAGACTCTTGCTGGGGTCACTGTTGAGGCAGGAGCCTGAACAAGACAAGCCTTGGAGACTCTACCTAAGGGAATGCACTTGCGGGTGCTTGCTCCATGAGGCCAGAATAGATGGACAATCCCAGACGCTGTTAGGACGTGTGGAGATGGTCAAGGGCTTCCTTCCCTCTAGGCACTCGACTTGGGTCATTTAGCGACACACACTATGTTTTCTGTAGGCTTCATAATCTACGAATTAGAGTAATTCTTCCTGTCTCAAAAAGACGGACATGAGTGGAATGACTGCTGTGCAAACCGGACAACCTGAACTTGACCCTCTGGAACTTGTGGTGGAAGGAGAGAGCCAGGTCCTGAAAGCTGTCCTCTGATATCCCCATGCCTCCTCATAATAAAGTAAATCAATCTTTTCAAAAGGTAAAGGTGGAAGTCTTAGTATTTGTTTTACGTATTGGTGTTTATTTCTATCTATAATTAAAAAATTATAATTCTGTCCATTTTTCTGCATTAGAGAGAATGCATATTTTGCCGGCACACACACATACAACACACACACACACACACATTATGTGGTTATGTGGGGTGGATCCAAGGTTCTTGCATATATGTGTTTACTCCATATTTTTGTTCAAACCTCTCACTGTAGGTGAAGAAGCAGGCGTCCAGTGTGACTAAGGGACTTGCCCAGTGTCACACAGATGGATGACGATACTGGTGCCGTGAGGTCCTAGACCACGATTCTGTGCATAGCGTTCAAATCTATTACAAACAGGAAGGAGAGCAGGGAAATCCTTGCTTTCCCTTCTTCCAATCAATGAGTAAGCACCACGAAGGTCAATCTCAAATTAACTACATAACCCAAGTGTTAAGTTTTTAAGACCGACCTGGTTCAGTATTGATTCCTTCTATGAAAGCCATATTTATACTGAAATTGCCCAAGAATGTCTGAGCACATATGAAGGCTTTGTTGAAATAATTACATGGCTTTATTTTTGTAGAGAAGTATCCAAAATCTGTAAGTTCATTGTCTAAGTTAAACAATGAAAACATCTGTTGTTTCTTGTGATGGCCCTGTTCTTAATACAACATGGCAAAATAATACCCCCTAAATATCCATGATTAACCTGAATTGGAAAGGGCTCCCCTCCCAATCTCCCTGTGACTCCATGAAGCTGCTTCCACTGACAGTAGTTAAAAAAAAAAAAAAAAAAACTTTGTTCAGAGTTCCAGTGCAAGAAGAACCAGGAATTTCTCACTGCTGTTAGGTGGTGTCCCTCTAAGCAATGAATCGCATGCATTTCAAGCCCAGGCAGAAGTGCCAATATCAAGTTTTGGACTGCATTCAAGTCTCAGTTAAGCGCAGGTGGGCCTGTCCTTAAGTGTTTGTGTTTACCTGTACATATGACTGTTTGCCTGGGTGACTGTGTTTGTTCCCACACTGGTGTAGGTAGACTGACACGTGGGTGTGGGGGTTCCACCCTGTTTGGGACTGTGAAGGAATTAAGAAGGAACAAACTGTCTGGGTCGCCTCTTCCCTTCCCCCTTAGGCTCTGTCACTGCAGAAAACCCCCAAACAATGGGAAGAAAGGGGACTTCTGAACACATTTGAACCAGGCTGTCACTCTCAATGGGCTTTTCCTGAGTACCAGGGAAGAACAGAACCCAGGAAATGGCAATACATAAAATGTAGGGCCTGTCTGTTATCAGACCCCTTCTTCCCTCCTTCCCTCCCTTCTTCCCTCCCTCCCTCCCTTCTTTCCTCCTTCCCTCTCTCCCTTCCTCCCTCCCTCCCTCTCTCTCTCCTTCCTTCCATATCACTCTTCCTTCTGTACCTGCCTATATTTCTACAGCCACTTGCCAGGGTCTCCAACTCCTTCGTTATAGCCTTATCATAGCATGGGGTGCAAGATGACACCCCACTATCTCCAGCAAAGCAGTCTCTACCCCACAGCTCACATGAGTCAAGGTCTTTGTGAGCAAAGCCAATGACATCAGTAATATTTACATGTGCCACGCTGTGCCGGCCACCAGGCTTGTCCTAGTTAATCCTCACATGACTTCCTGCCAAAGATGCTGAGCTGTCTCCACTTCCCAGGTGAGGACATTGGGGTCTGACACACATACATTTCCCAGGGGACTCTGCAGCAAGTGGCAGGGTTGGACCGAGCACACAGCCCAAGTCCAAGGCCACATTCTCACGGGCCATGTGGGGAAGTCTCTGCCAGAGTGAGTCCCTGAACTTGCCCTCCCTTAGATTTCTCTCTGTCTCAGAATAGTCGGCTCCTCTTCAAGGGGCAGACATGGTGAGTGACCTCATCCCTCAGGGAACACACAGGTTGTGTGTCATCGGCGGCGGCGGCGGCGGCGGCGGCGGCGGCGGCGGCGGCGGGAAGGAGGCATTATGGGTTCTAGGGGCACTTGAGGTGGATGGAGAGAAGAGGCCTCCCTTCCCTCCAGCCTGGAGGCTCCGAGCTGGAGCAGCTGTGCCACCATCCTGGGCCCTCACTTGGCCCTGTCCCCTCGCAGCAGACAGAGCTCTTTCATCCTGTCTGACTTAGTGGTTTATTTTAGGCACAGACTGACCAGGTGCTCTGGGTCAATAGGCTTAGCTTTAAATAACTGGATTTTTCTCCGTGAGTATCTCCTTTGGCAGGAAGGGACACAATGAAAGAAAGAGTCCCACAGGCCAGGGTGGTGAGGGAAGGAGACAGAGGACAAGACGGGAGAGAAGACAAGTGGGCTTTGTCGTTTCCTGTGTGACCTCAGACAGATGTCTGACTTTTACACCCAGTGAAGCAGTTTCCGCACCTGCAAGGCACAGCTTTGGACCAGGTCATCTCGAACATCCCCTGTCCCCTGCAGACTTACCTCTGGGCTTCTGTGCTCTACTGTGCCTTTACAGACAAGTCACCTACCCAAAGGCATGTGCTTCAGAGTGCTGGCCTGACACCGTAGAGCTCAGCCACCAGGGAGGCTGCAGAGCAGAGGGCAAGCAGCTGCTGGGGCCTGGAGACCCGGATTCGGGTCTTGCTTTTGGTGCGAGCCTGGTGATCTTGTGTGTGAGCTTCAGTTTCCCAGCCAGTTTTTAAAAGAGCCTGATGAAACTTGAATAGACTTTATGTGCGTTACACAGAGTAATTGCAGGTGAGAGCCCTTGGAACTCCCCAAATGCTTTATTAAAAAAATTAAATGTGTCTGGCAGTTTCTCAAAAAGTTAAACATAAAATTGTCACACTACCCAGAAATTCCACTTGTGGTCCTATACCCCAAAGAACGCAAAGCAACAGTACAGAGGTGGTTTTATAACTGTGTTGATAGCGTCGCTCTTCACAGGAACCAAAAATGGAAGCAACCCAAGTGTGCATTTGATGGATGAGTGAGTAAACAAAGGCTGTGTAGACACACAATAGAATACTATTCAACCGTAAAGAGGAATGAAATCCTGACACGTGCTGTAACATGGCTAAACCTTGAAAACATTGTGTTCCAGCAGACACGAGAGGACCAAAGCTAAGCACTCCACTCACCATGGGACACCTAGAACAGCTAGAGAGAGCAAATGACGGTTCCAGAGACGGAGCGGAGGGAGAATGGGGAGTGATAGTTTAACGGGTGGAGAGTTTCTACTCGGTTTGATGGGAAGGATCTGGATGTGGGAAGTGGCAGTGGTTGGACAACATTGGGGATTTACTTAGTGGTAAGCTTAAAAGAGAGAGAGAGAGAGAGAGAGAGAGAGAGAGAGAGAGAGAGAGAGAGAGGTTAAAATGAGGCTGAAGAGAGAGCTCAGTCCAGGAAGGTGCTCGCTGTGTAAGCAGGGAGCCATACCCGAGTTTTGATTTCCAGGTTTAGTGAGAAACTGTCTCAAAAAATAAGGTGAAGAGATATCGAGGAGGAAAAAAAATCACCTGACATCGACCAGTGGTCTACACACACACACACACACACACACACACACACACACACACACACACACACGTATACCTACACACACACAAACATGTACATACACCACACACACAAATTTAAAAATGGTTAAAACTGCAATTTCATATTTTATGTAGCTTACCATGTTTAAAAAATAAACGTGCAGTTTTCAAATTTTAGTTTAAAATGTTAGACATATTTTGGCAAAACCTGGGAATGAGAAAACCTGTTTCTTCGCCTGAACTTGGGTGAGACATCTGGGGGAGCAAAGCCTCTCTCTCTGTTAGAACAGCACCCCCAGCTCCCCACCTCCACCACCCTTACCATGCCTCTCAGAAAGCCAGGTCAAAGGCACACCCAGTTGGAGCCAAGTGGGTCAAGGTGGAAACAGGATCTCCAGGGCCACCTACCTGACCGATTGCATGGAGAATTCCAGTGCTGGCACTTAGTTTATCCTCAGGGCTACTTGGACCTCTTCCCTGGACCCTGTGCGGCCTCTTACCTGAGAATTGAGACAAAAGGAAACTTTGACCACATCAACCTTCCACATCAGTCAGCCACGTCATGGTGCCTGCCCCGGAGCTCAGCAGGTGCTCGGCTTCCATTTGGTAGCTGCTGGGGTTCCCTTCACCCTTATGTCCTATTGACCTGGAAGTGAGAAAGCTGTGGTGATCCGGACTGGGGTAGGGATAAAGAACACACGCTGTAAATGACTGTTCAAAACGCTCACAATGTATCAGGTGCTAGCGCAAATTTGGGCAGTGTCGGGGATGGAGTGGACTGAGTGGGCTTTTCCAGGAGGCTGACTTCCAGAAGTGACTAAAGGTTTGGGGCAGCACGTAGGTTTGAGCTTTGGGGTGGAAAGTACCAGATGTCTTCAAAGATCTTAGCCGAGATGTTGGCAAGAGTACCCATGCTCTCCCATTCGTGGAGGGAAACTGAGTCCAAAAGAAACAGCAAGCAATGGCTTTGGATGACCCAGGCAGGAGAAACCCAGCGTCCTTGCCCCGTGCATGGCGGACTCTTGGCACATGTATGACATATGCCTCTCTGCGACCATATAGGCTCAAAGCCCATGGGTGACAGGGACCCCTTTCCTCTCTCGGCCAGAGAAGCAAGATCGAGATGGTCAGGCCAGGGTCCCCACCTCTGTCCCTGAGCTTGTGGGTCTAAGGGACCCCCGGGCTGGGGCTGGAGTGGCATTCACCACCCGGGGTGTCGCGGGGGGGCGGAGAGAGCGGCCGCCTAGCCCAGCCCCGCGGATGACAGGAGCCGGGGAGCCGAGGAGGGAGGAGCCGCCGCCGTGCGCTGGGCTGAGGAGCAGAGAGAGCGGGGCGCCGAGTGCGGGCGGCTGGGAGCGCGCTGAGCGGGGGAGAGGCGCTGCCGCACGGCCGGCCACAGGACCACCTCCCCGGAGAATAGGGCCTCTTTATGGCATGTGGCTGGTAACTTTCCTCCTGCTCCTGGACTCTTTACACAAAGGTGAGACCCGCGCTGCCGGCGGCTGGGCGGTGGAGGCGGCGGGGCCGGGATGCGCGCGGCTGGAGGCGAGGTGCGGTGCCCAGTGGGCTCCAGGTGCCCGGGTGCAGGACCCGCTCGGGTGTATGGCGCTGGGTGGGCGCGAGGGGGTGGGGCGGCTCCGCGAGAAGGGTAGGGTGAGAGTCAGCTTGGGACCGTTTGCCAGCCCCCCTCCGTCTGCCGTTTAGGGGCGCGCCCGTGGGGGGCGGTGGCCAAGGAACCCCTGGTTTCCCTGTCCCAGCCTGGCCCCAGTTCTGCCCTGACCCCCTCCCCCAGCCCCTTGCCGGCTCTCGCGGGTTACTGGAGCTGGGACCCCGGGGTGCCCTGCGAGCCAGGTGGTCCTCGGACCAAGACTTCATCCCGGAGCCCTCGGTAATTGGGTCCTCGGACCTAGGGAGGCTCACTCCCGCTGTAGCTTCGTGCGCCCCTCGACCGCCCTCGACCCCCGCCCTGGCGCAAATGCCGGCGCACCGCATGGCGCTTATCCGCGCCTGGCTGGGTGCAGGGCTGGGAGAGCTGGGGGTCCCGAGAGGCGGGGGTTTCCTCGGACAGCAAGTTTGTTCTTCAGATCCGAGGGTCGCCCTCACCTATATCCCACCCCCATACCTCAGGCGCTAGCCCCGGCTTCTCTGAGTCTCCCTGGCCACCTTAGGCAGTCTGCCCCAAGGTGCGAGACTCTTCGCTCCGGCGCTTGGCCTGCTGGACTAGGGGACAAGTGTTCAGACTGGGGGGCGTGTCCCTTTCCTCGGAGAAAAAAGGTTGCTAGGGGTGGGTCCAGGTGTCCGGCATGTCCAGACCAGCTCCTGGGGCGCCGCGCACCTGATCTAAGAGGTAGCCGGGACTGAGGGGTTAGCCAGAGGCAGGCATTTCTGATCTTAACCAACCTGGGTACCAAATCGGGACCTGGCCAGCGCGGGCAGGCAGTTGAGCTTCTAGGCTGTGGCAGAGGACGTGCCCCCGGGCGCGCAGATGGCGGGAGGGAGAAGAGGCGGCCGAACTCCGCGCCCTTGCGCTGTAGAGCACAGACGCTCCTCGGCTTTACCTGCTCAACCCTCTAACTTTTCTCCTTCGCGCCCGGAGGGCAGCTTCTCCTTCCGCCTCCTTTGCCTGGGCTGGCCTGGACCAACAATAATTCTTGCCCCCTAGGCGATGGAGAAGGGCAATCTAGAGCCCGGGAAGGGGTCTAGTCCTTTGCTGAAGCCGAGTTTGCAACCTGCCAGGAACCAAAGCAATGCCCAGTAGGTTGGGGGCGGAGGCTAACCCTTATTTGTGGATATGGTCAGGTCAGAGCCAGTCTGATGGCCTAGTCTGCTGGGATTTTGCCCAGAAGATCCGAGTGCTGGGCAATGGGTGGCCTTAGATGGTGAGCAAAGTAATAGACTTTCTCAGGCCCAGTGGGGGCCACTGGGTAACAACACTAAGGCTGGTCTAGGTTGTTTAACTCCTTGCCCCCTGAACTGACCCCTTCATCCCACCTTAGGCTACAAGCTTGCCTCCTGCCCCCACTGCACACCCCAGTTTTCTTTCCTGGGGCTCTTCCTGCTTCCCTCCACCCCGACAGGCTGGTTTGGCTCACAGCTTTAATTACGTTAATATT